GGAGAGAGAGAGAGAAAGAGGAAGGAGGGAGGGAGGGAGGAAGGAGAGAGAGAGAGAAAGAGGAAGGAGGGAGGGAGGGAGGAAGGAGAGAGAGAGAGAAAGAAACAGAGCATGGCAAGCCTTCCTTTCTCTCCCCTTCCTCAACGCTCTGAAGTGTGAAATTAAAGCACCGAAAGCACTCCTTGTGGGGCCCTATTACCGGCCATCGCCCTTCATTATTGGCAGCCAAAGAGACCACGCGAAGGAGAGTCGGGGCAGGGACGGAAAGGGAAAGGGAGGAGGAGGCCCCTGATGCACCAGGGAAGAAGGGAGTCTAACAAAGGCGGGGGGCAGAGGCTGCTTCCAAGCCCCTTCCTCTTCTCAGCTCCTGCAGGCAAGTCCCCAGGTACAGCCTGAGCAGCCGCCCAACTCTGGTGACCCCCCCTTATGCTCGCCAATGCAGGTCAGGTGCTAAGAAGCTGAGATTTGCGAGCTGAACCCAGGAGGAGGGAGAGGATTTTGAAATTCCCGGCTCCTACAAGCACGCACAGAAAGACCCCCAAGAGAGACCTCGACCGCATTCATCAGCAAGTTTGATTCTATTTGCCCCAAAACAAATCAAGCCCAAGATTTTCCCCCTTTGGGACCGCCGAGATGCATAGCCAAAGCCTTCCAAAACTACCAGAGATTTCCAAAAGTTGTTTCTAGGGTGGATGATTATTTTTAACGGGGAAAAAAGGGCGCAAATTCTGGGATGCCTCTTGGAAAATGAGTCTTTGCTGTTCCAAAGCCAAGGGCAGGCCTCAGCCCAGAAAAAGCCGAGTATCTCTATATTACAGTTATAATCCCAGAGGAAAATTAAAAAAAGAAAGAAAGAAAAATTGTGCCAGCTTTATGCCACTGGAGAAGCATGAAATACAACCACCAACATTGGAGACCGCTAGATGGGCCACCCGTCAAGATTTAACTGGATCTGATAGCCATCTTACTTAAGAATTTAGTAAAATGTGTTAGAACTTAATTCATATGGGCACCATTCATAATCTGACTAGCAAAGCAATCCATTTCCTGGCTTTGCACAAACCCCCGAACTAGACATTTATTTATTTGCTATCCTTTTATGCCACCGTACTTCTCACCGTCAAAGACTGGTGGTGGGGCACGATTCAATCAAACCAGCAACTCAACATAATAAATCAAATCCATCAAATCACGTTTCAACGGTCACATCGAAACGAAGAGGAATAGCTGCCCAAGACCAGAGGTCAACTCCAAATGAACTAAGTGACCTGGATTTGTACACCAGGCTAAGCTAGGCCAGGTATTAACCCTGGGTCATACTAGCCAAGATTAGCGAGCCTTAGCTTGCTAAGAAGATATTTCGAATTTTAATTTGGAGGGGAAGTTTCTATTCAAAAGCTGGCTGAATCTTAAAAGCTGGTACAAAATTCCCAACTGTTCTGGCTGTTTTTCAGACAGCAAAGGAGGAAAAGCGTCGGGACGGTCGAGCAAGGAAGAGCTTACCGTCCTCGCACGGACCGCTCTTCACAACCTCCAGCTCCTCCTTCTGCTGACAAGCCGCCAGACGCAGCTCACACTCGGTGTCATAAGTAATGCCATTGCTTCCACACACGCGGGCCACGGGCTGTTGCTCGCAACGTGGGCAGAGGCACTGCCCATCGACACACTTCGCCCCGAAGGAACACACCGTGGCCCCACAGGCTTCTGCAGAGGGGGTGGGGGGCGAGAGGAGAAAGAGGTTCGGGAGCCCGTGAAGCTATTTCAATGGCTGAGTGGTTGGTTTGGAGGGGAACCGGGTTCGAGGGGATGGGGTGCTGATGGGATGCTAAGGGGGGCCGAAAGGCAGCCCAGATCTGGGAGGACCCTCCCGGACAGAAGGAAACCCGGACTCACTGCAGCTGCCTTGGGCTGCCACCTCGATGGAGACCTGCTGGATGCAAGCCTGGACGTGGAGTTCGCACTCGCTCCCGTAGGTGTTCCCGTCGGTGCCGCAAACCAGCTGAGAGGAGGCCACGCATTCAGTGGGGCACACGCACCTCCCTGTCTCTGCCTCACAGATGGCACCAAACTGGCACTTTCCACAGTGGTCTGGAAGGGAGGAGAAAGACGTCAAAATGGGGATTCATCGGCAGGAAGCTTTGAAACTCACCTTTTCCCCCAAAGAAGTTCAGGCTAGCATTTCTGCTAGGATGGTGTGATTTCACGGACTGCAACGGGGCGGCAGGACTCCCCTGCCACTGACTGGGGATGGTGGGCATCGGCGTGTCCCATCTGATGGGCCAGCAACCACCCATCCTGGGTTTAAAAGGTCTCACTTTGGAATGACATAGTGCCCGCACCTGCATGGTGACAGGAAGGCCCTTGGCTCAATTCCAGCGTCTTCAAACTGGGAAAAGCTATTGCTTGAAATGATGGAGAACTGGTCCCAGTTAGTCTCAGGGTTTGCACAATACATTGGAGCCTCCAGTTCACCCAGTTACCTGGGTTAGTGCTTCCAGGACGTTGCCCACTGTAGGACAATTGGATATAGTACTGGGGGAAAATGAACAATTGGGAGTGGCTGCAATGCAAGGGGAGCCCGGTTCAAGGAATATTTGACCCAATCCAAACAAGCCATTTTCCCCCTTGGGTTCTACTTCTTGGGCCTTCCTGTAGCTGAGAACGCTGCAAATGAAGGGTCATCCATGCCTGGTCCATTCAATCCATGTTGGAAGGGGATGCGCGTTTTATGTTTCCCTATGCAGGCCCCTGGCCATCCAAGCATCTCCCTCTAATTTTAATAACTTCTTCCTGGGAAGAGATGTATTTACAACATGACACCAATAATTCACAGCTTCTGGCCCTTCCTTCTTCCTCATCTCCTCGAGTAAATGGGTGTTTGCAACGGGGCGGGCAGGGAGGGAGGAAAAGGAGGGCAGGCAAAGTCTTTTTTCTTCATCATTCCATCCTCAAGCCGAAGCTCTTTGAACATCTGGAAAAAGATGGGAGGGGAAAGGAGGGGCGGGTCACCCAGCCGAGGTCTTCCAGATGTGACGTTTCTTCCAACAGTCTTGGGCACCCCTGAAACCTCCTCTGTGAAACAGCAGGTCGGACCCCACAGCTCCTTCAACGGCCTGGGCAGAAAAAGATCTGCTGCTTCTCCCTGTAACCACGCTGGCAGAGATGAGAAACCCTCCCACCGCTGGACACCAAGAGGAGAGGGAGGGGACCGCGATGCGTATTTGAATGCACGCCTTGCAAGCAGCATAGCGCAAAGGACCAGAAGGCAGGAGAAGACTCTGCCGGAGACTTCAGAAAGGGAAAAGCGATGCGCTAGACGGGTCAAGAAATGTGACCTGGTATAAGTATCTTTGGCAGGCAGCCTGTGAGGGGATGACAGGTTGGCAGAGAGCGGGGAAGAACCCAGACCGCAGCTCGCTGTCTTTTGATCCGACGTTTGGGATTCTGGCCCGGCTTATCTATCAAAAAGCAGAGAGGCTCTTCACTGTAAGAGCCACAGGATATTTCAAGAGAGGTTCTGAAGGCCTGTTGTTCCCGTCCCCCTGTCAATCAAGAGGGAACAAACAGGCAATAGCATCGGGGCTCGGGTGCAGGGGGGCAAAGGCAGGAGAAAGACGCACCAACCCTTGACCTGTTGGCCAGTCTGGCCTCTCTGCTAAGAAAAAGAAATAGCTTTCCTGGACACCCTGCAATTTCTCCAGCTGTAGAGAAGAAAGAGTTGGCTAGAAAGGGTCGGAACATCTGGGGTATGAAAAGAGTGTGTTTCCAGTTCCTCGCTGTCTTGCACAGCTGGGGATGGCTCGGGCCAACGGTGGGGCAGAGGGTGGCATCTCTCCCCCACCCGCACACAAAAGGCGGGGTCGGGACAAAGATGGGGGGCTAACGCGGGGAGCACAAACGTGGCTCTGGGGCTCCGGAGTCCCTTCCCAAGCACAAGACGATTCCGAAGATCGGCTATTTCCCAGGGTGACCCTGATACTAACTTTAGCTCAGACACCCGCTCTTGCACGTCTCCCACAGGAGGGTCTGCGCGAGAGGCACTCCCTGGGTCCTGTGCCTGGCACCTTAGCCAGTCTACTCCACGAGATGCCTGCCAATTTAATTACTGCCTAAAATTGGCAACGTCTTGCCAGCTGCTACGTTCCACCGTCCCGGGGCACAGCGCATATGCGTGCTCTGGCACGGGCGGCTTCTCTACCTCAACTGATAGCTCACGCTTGGAAAACAAACCTTCGCTGGGAAAGGTGGATTCGTAGCCCTTAGCCAGGAGGCTGCTTGAGCGTTTGACTTGCCCCCCCAAATCCCGTGAGCGTAGCCGTTGTGACTATCAGCCAGAAACAAGCTGCCGTAGACTCTCCATGCCCGGCAACCTGGCTTTGTTCTCTTGCAAGCTCTCCGCCCCCATGTTCTCGTTCCTCAACAAAGCCGTGCAATTTGTTGGTTGAGGAGCGAAAAGGGAAAGAGGCATCTGAGTTTGTTTGAGGGGGGTGGCCGCCTCGCAGCCGAATGGTTCAAACGCACGCAGTCAGCGGCTTGCAGAATTTGAGAAACACGCAACGCTCCTTTAACACATCAGAGAGCGGTGACCAACCAGCTCACTTTTACCTACTTTTTGAAGCAAGGGCGTTCCCAATTTTCCAACCAACCTTTTTCCCCCAGCTCTAGGTGGAGACGGCAAGGCCAGAAACTTTGCAAGAAACAGGCTTTTATTCCTGAGCTTTCAGCCATCCTTCTTTTATGCAGATAAACTAGGGCGTATGTTAGGGGACAGAAAACCCCCTGCTTTGTCTTCTTTGGGAGAGAAAGAGATGAGTCGGAGGGCTGAGAAACATTTAAAAAATCATTGCGCAGGATGGAGGGAAAAGGATTTCTTCCTCTCCTGTTCAATCTGTCAATTCCAGTTCCCAAGGCAGTTCGTAACACCAACCAAGGACTATGAAGTGCAATAAAATGATCACAGGAAAAACAATAAAAATAAATTTCAGCAATTGGAAAGCACAGCCGCGTTAGGCAGAGTTTTTAAAACACTTCAGCAACCTCCTTAAAGCAAGCATGGCTAACTTCCCTTCTAGAGAAGGAACGTGTCTGGATTTTTTAACCCATCTGCTGAAGGCTGGGGAGGTCTTGCCGGGGAGGAAATTCCCATCCCTGATGCACCAGACTGTTTGACTTGACAAGTCTGGAGCGGACGACATTTCCTCCCCATAATTTCTCCCCAAATGCAGCATCACATAATCCACACTGCCTTCTTTCAACAGGGACACATGCAGAGGCAGCCCATGGAGAAATCAGCCCCAGCACCCTAAGAGAAGCATCAGGTTTCTAGTCCTCAAGACGGCTCAGGGCTTGGCACAAGGAAGGGGAGGGGTGCCGCATGCCAAATTAACCCACCTCTTTGGGGAAGCCTAAATCCCCATATTCTCCTGTGAGCAAGCATAAGAACAAGAAACTGAAATGAACGTAATGCTCTTATCTCCGGTTGCTCTCCGGTCCCACCTTAGGTTGGATTTGAAGACTGTAAGCTCCTTATACAGCAGGCAAGTTTTGCTCTCAGCTTCCTCAGCTAATTGCTTATGCATCAATATCTGATTGTATTACAGCCAGTGGGACTTGCGACCCTGATCTCTGACGCTCCGTTTTATCCCTCATGATAATTTTTTACGCAGAGGTTTACGCCAGCAGTAGAGAAGGCCTGGAGCTAGGCGAGGGGGCTGTCGGTGCTAGACGAGCGGGGATTTGAAACTTTCTGGGCCGGGTTTGACACTCGGATGGAGCCCCTAGCACCAGAGGCTTGACCTACAACAGGTTGTTAATCGGTGTTAGGAGCTACTGCACACCTCAGTCAATCTTTTACTGCAGCAGTTCGGAAACATTTGGGGCTCAGGACCCCTTTACGTACTTGGGGACCCCAAAGAGCTTCGGTTGCTGTGGGTTATATCTATCAATATTGACGGTATTAGAAATTGGAACTGAGAAATGTTAAAAGAGTCATTGATTTGACTTCGCGGACCCCCGAAAGAAGGGAAATAGAGGCCATCCGTCCAGCATGCTGCGATTGCATCCCGCACTGAGTCCAAGGAGGCGGTTGGCTTTCTAAGGCCTGTTTGTCTCGCCGCCCTGAAGAATGTACCAAATGGGCCTGCCAGCTTTGCCCTGGCATGGCTTCGTCACTCATCCCCTTTTGATCCCACTCCAATGGTACAGCCTCTGATAGTAGGACCCAACTACAGTGGTACCTCTACTTACGAATTTAATCCGTTCCGTGACTCTGATCGCAAGTCGAGTTGGTCGCAAG